ATGAGAAATTTCAGTGATGTGTAAATTAAACCAGGATAAAGAACTACTTTTGTTACTGTTTTTCAGCGTGCTTCTTATTACAGAATTCCCTTGTCTCTGGCATTTATTGTAACTCAGAATATTTCTGGGAAAATTTTAAGTTTCCCCCTGTTTGGCCCTTACAATTATGCTCATTCTAAATACTGTATTAAACATGTAGCAACGACTATATGCATTTTCCCTTAGCTGGTGATATGAAGCATCTTGCATTTCTAGCATTTTTTTCTGATACTCAGGATTATCTGACTTCAGACAGGAAGCTTCATTTCAGGGACTGTTTGCACAGGAAAGTCTCTCCTCTGGGGACTTTGAACCGGGCCGGTTGTCAGTTATGCATCCTGGCATTGGCTCCCTTGTTATTTACCCTGGGATGGGAGGCAAGGCAAAGGTATGATTTTGCCACTGGCGCCTGGTTTTTATACAGCTACCCTTCCATCTGTAGTGCTGGGAGAAAGGTGAGAAATACAGATAGGTGAATTCCATAGAAAATCCCAATCATTATCATCAGTAGACTAAGACCCAACACATCCCTGTCAAAACAGAGTCTGATGTCCAGAGCACTTACAGTCAAATCCCATTATCCAACACATACATACATACATACGCTCTCCATCCACTTAAGATATACAAGGAGGTAAGTCAAAAAGTATTGCGACAAAATCATAGAAACCTCCATTACACAAAAATATCAAAGTGTGAGGCAATTTTTTTCTAAACATAGCCTCTATTTAGATCCATACCTTCCTGAAGGCTGTTTTTCCATCTCTCTAACCCTGGTGGCTGGTGTAGGGGGACACACGTTGGGCTGCAAACTGAAAGGTCAGTAATTTGAAACCACTAGCGGCTACACCAGAAACAAATGAGGCTTTCAACTTCTGAAAAGAGTTAGTCTCAGAAACCCACACGGGCAGTTCTACCCTGTCCAACCTGGCTGCGATGAGTCAGAATCTCTGTGAACCACCCAGTCAGCAGTTGGAAATCATTGGCTCCGCTGAGGCAGAAAGGTGAGGCTGTCTACTCCCGAGGAACCCCCGGGGGCGGTTCTAACCTTTCCTAAAGGGTTGCTGCGACTCAGAAGCGACATGAAGGCAACCAGTGAGAACCCTTCCTCCACGAAGTCTGCCTTGCGCTCTTCAACGTACCCCGTGTCCAAAGGCAGTTAAGGGCAGCTCGACCGTGCTCTTTTGAAATGTGATTTGATTTCGGGGAGCCGAAAGGAGACTGAAGTGGCAAGATCAGAGGTACTGGTTGGTTGGATGGGTAAAGTTTCGCAGTTGACAGTCTCATAAGACAGCGCTGGCTCCCCTCAAAGAAGGAGCAGATGCGTTATTAAGAAAAGGAATCTTTGGCACAACTTTCCTTGCCTTGTCCTCGCTCACAACAGAGGGGTCGATTTTTGAAAAGGTCTTCCTCATAAATCCGCACGATCATCCTGTGTCCTTCCGGAAAATCCAGGAGGATGCCCTCTGGGGGACCCCCAAAGCAGTCGCCATAGGCTTCTGAGCTGACCTCTCTGCCTTGGTCTGCAGGTTCCCTAGAAGCTAATGTTTCCATTGTTTCTTTGAAGGCACCTAAGTGAGTTTAGCAAAGTATACTGTGAGAACTTGTCCAAAGCCACCCACCCGCCATAGACTCGTGTTAAGACAGATTTTGTCTGGAATAACCGTGCTAGGTACTAAACTGTAACGCGGGTAGGAATACCTTTGACTCACCCTTCTGTATGACTGTGGTATGCAGCTTTGTTGCTCCTGACTCATAGCAACCCTGTAGAACGAGATTAGAACTGTCCCAGCGGGTTTTCTTCGACTCTAATCTTTATGGAAGCAGATTGTCTGGTCCTACAAGAGCTTAGCCATTATGCCATCAGGAGTTGTATTTATCCCTCCAAAACAAACAGACTGGCATAGAATTGATTCTGACTCAGAGTGACCCTATAGGACAGGCTAGAACTGCCCCTCTGGGTTTCTGTGAATGTAAATCTTTTCAGGAATAAAAAG